TCACTCGAGGACTAAGCACATAGAAATTAGGCATCACTTCATACGAGATCACGTCCAAAAGGGAGATGTCACAATTGAGTTTGTTGAAACGAAACATCAATTGGCAGACATTTTCACGAAACCCCTTAGTAGGGAGAGTTTCTTCCACATTCGGAACGAACTTGGAATTTTGGATATCTCTATGAACTAATCCATTCTTTTTATTGACTATACTAATTTGAGCGTCGGAGGCGCGATAAATTCTTTTTGCAGGGCTTTTATTGTAGGTATATCTTCCCTTGGTATTCAACCGAATTGGACTTGATGCTTTTTCTTCTGTCAAACCAAGTTGTAATCGATTACTCCTCGAAGAGAAATCGATTAGTCGCCTCTGTCCCTCTTAATCGATTACTCGTTTCTTTTTAATCGATTAATATCCGAAAACATTTTAGCGCTGATTCACCGAAATCGATTAATTTTTTTTAATTAATCGATTAGACTCAACTGTCCATCTTAATCGATTAACCATCTCTGTTTAATCGATTAATAGCTTGAAAAGAGACGTTTTGGTTCTGCTTCTTCTAATCGATTAATATGCTTCATTTAATCGATTTTGCCTCGGCTGTGTTCCTTAATCGATTAAATATTTTATTTTAATCGATTAATATTCGATTTTCGCCCTATATCCAGCCCAGGCTTCGTCTTCTTCGCCGTTCTCTGTTAAGAAATCAGAAACCCTAACACCCTCTCCTCTTCAATCCCTCTCAATTTTCTTCCATCTTCTCACCAATCTTCTCACCTAATTTCATCAATTTCAAAGAGGAAGGATGCCAAGGTGCAAGAACGCTTCCTCGGGTCAAGAAACCGCAGCAGAGGAGAACGAGAGGCCATGGCGTCGTGAAGGAAGAAAGTATATTCACATTCAAACGGGTCTCGCCTTCAACACTGGAGCTTCAGTCGAGAGGTTCCACAACATCTTCCTCACGAAGGAGATCGTCTCTCCCAAGATCGTGAACAAGGACCTCTTCAAATCGGCGACCTATGCCCCGAGTAAGTCTATGTTTCTTCAGCAAGGTTTGCTTTGTTTCATTCATTTGACGTATGAATTTTTCTGTCCAAATCTTATACGTCAATTTTATGCAAATCTTCGTACCACTAAGGGAGGTTCGCCATCTCTCATTTCCTATGTTGACGGCAAAACCGTTTTCATCGACGGTGCCGGTCTGACTTCTTTGTTTGGCCTTCGTCGCGGTGAAATTAGCGAAAACTTGGATGAAACATTCCAAGATGAGGCAATTTGGCGACAACTCGGGTTGGATCCTCGTGATCTCAAGTTTAGAAACTCTAGCAACCCGAGTGTCATTAATCTCAAGCTGAGTCATCTCAAGCCGGAGGAAGTCGAGCCACGGAGCGGGTCACTCGTCAACGGAGGACTCGTCCAAGAGAAGAAGCACCGGAACCTTCTTGGGTGAAGAAGATCTTCGATACTCTCACGTGCATCCGAGATGATGTTCGCCAGCTCAACGCGAGGATGACTCGTCTTGAGCAATCTCACTCCTACCGTGGCCCGCGTCACAGCTTTGGCGGAGGAGCTCGTCCAGCGAACTCTCATTGATTGTTATTTTCTCTTAACTGATTATGATACATTGGTATTTGTTATGACTCTTTTGGTGGATGATGATGTTTCCTTTCGATGATTCTAGTTGATATTCACTGCTTGTGTATTAATATCTTTGTTGGCTTGGCAATATTGTTCTTATTTAGAACATATTGTCCCTTTGTGGCATTTTTTGTAAGAGTTCTCTTTTAAAGAAAACTCTTGCCTTTTTTTCTTTCCTTCAATATCCAGGCATTGTTTAAGGGGGAAGGTTATCGGTTGATAATGCCAAAAGGGGGAAGGAAGGATAGTTGAGATATTTTTTTTCCGCTTATTACTCCGATGATTATTTTTACTGCACTTCTCTAACTTTGCAGGGGGAATTTTTTTTAAGTAATTTCTGAATTCTTACTTTGCTCTTTCTCAACTATGTTTGTCATTATCAAAAAGGGGGAAATTGTTGGACATGAGTTCAAAACCCTTTTTTCTGGAATATTTTTTTGTTTTGATGAATGACAAACAGGATGATTAATTTCCAGCTGATCGAAAATTTATTTTTCATATCGAGAAAAGCAAAGAAAGGTATCAAGAAGTTTACGGCGACATAAATTGACGACCACCCCTACGCAGATTTTTTTTGAAGTGAAGTGAAGACTCCGAAGACTTTTTATTTTAGTCTAGGAATTTTTGTAAGGATGACATTATCTTCTGCACAAACAAATTAATTTCTGAGGGATAAAATATTTTATTGAGTCAGTTGAAAAATTACTTTTCCTCTGTCTAAAATATTTTATAGAGTAAGTTGAAAAATTACTTTTCCTCTGTCTAAAATATTTTATTGAGTCAGTTGAAAAATTACTTTTCCTCTGTCTAAAATATTTTATTGAGTGAGTTGAAAAATTACTTTTCCTCTGTCTAAAATATTTTATTGAGTCAGTTTCAAATAAGTGTGTCAAAATTTCTTAAAAACATTCTTTTAAGATTACACAATTTGTTTTTGGTAAGAAAAATATTCTTTAAATATTTTTCGTGTACATCGTTTGACACACAAAATAATTTTTGGACTTTTATTTTCTCCCCTACTCAAATTCATTGAGTAGGAGCGTCTGTTGTCTGTTGATATTCGCGTTGTCCAAAACAACGAGTTAGAAGCCAAAGGGCTTCCAATCGCGCTTGGCTTGGGCCCTTCATGTTTGCGCATTATTTTCACTTTAATCGATTATTTATTCTAAAATAATCGATTAGATCCAATTTCATAGCGCTGGTTTTCTCAGGCAAATCAACTTAATCGATTAAATTTATCACTTTAATCGATTAGTTTAAACAGAGCAGAATAATCGATTATTCCCTCTTTTTTAATCGATTAATTCCACTTTTGGTCTCAAGCCTTTTCGCTTCTGTACACTTTAATCGATTAAAATTTCTAAATTAATCGATTAATTCTTTCTGGTGCATATCATCAACTTTCTTCAACGGCTTTATTTTCCTCAGCCTATTTAATCCCTCATTCTCCTTCATTTCAATGAGCACCTCTTGCACTCCAATATATTCTTTGAGCTATATTCATCCTTTGCTTCATCTTCCTCATCAAAATATTATTTTTGAGAGTTAGAAATATTTTCTTTGAGTGCTAAAGAAGTTGTCATCCATAGAGCTTAAATCTTTCAAACACTACTTGCTCAATTGTGTGAGCTTTCATTCTTGTGTTGTAAACTCAATCTCTTTTGAGTGTTGTTCTTAAGACTTGTGTGACTCAAGTCTTGTTGTTGTAAGAAAGTGAGGCTTGTGTGATTCAAGTTCTCAAGTTGTACCGGTTTTTCAAGCACCCGTTGAAGCTTGAAGATTAGTAGGACTTTCGAGAGAGTCTCTCGGAAGACTGGATTAGCCACGAGGTGGTGAACCAGTATAAATCTCGGTGTTCTTCTTTCCCTTACTCTCTTTATTTTATTCCTGCGATTCTATTATTTCACACATGCGAAAAACGCACATTCTTGAAAACAACTCTATTCACCCCCCCTCTAGAGTTGCACATTTGTCTAACAAAAGTTCTTGAAGGTTTTGATGGAGATAAAGTTTCGGGTACTTTTAATTTTTTTGGTCACTCTAAACTTGGTGTTTAGTTTTTTTTTTAATTTTTTGGTCACTCTAACCTTAGTTTGTAAAAAAGTGTTTGCGATTGAGGTTAAGGATGACACGGACTGTACAAGGTTCATAGTTTTCAACGATCAAGCTGAGAAGATTATTGGCCAATCTTCCATGAACATGAGTGGGTACAATATCACAAAGAAATTGGAGGTAGTATTTATACTTATTGCATTATTTGGAAGGGTACTTTAATTAATATATCCATAGTTTTCATTGAAGTGGGGACTGTATATCTTATATTGCTTTTCTGGTGAAGTTTTAAACCTGCCAAACAATCATGCTATGTCTCTGAATTTGTTAATCTCATCTACACAAGTAGGTATTCATGTTTGGCACAAAAATTCGCCAGGAGCTAGGAGGATTAATCGACTTCTCTGCCGCAACAATTCTGATTACTATTTTGATTCATCTCCTTCCCACATGCATGGATCTGGTAACTCTAATCAATTCGTCGCTTTGTACTATGATGTATGAGCTGAGATGAATGAATTTTTTTAAATTATATAATTTTTCAATTTCAACAATCGTAATGATTCATTAGGTACTTGTGCTTCTTAGAGTAGACAAACAAATGTATTCGTTTAATCAAGATAATTAGCTTTTGTATTATTGTAAAATGCAAATTTGTGATTTGTTTAGAACAATAATTTACTTTGAGATTTCTTTTCTCATTTTTTGACTTCCGTACAAGTCCATTTAGAGTCTCAAAGCATTTCTATTGTAAAATATTTGAGAGCATTCTTGGTTGCTGAGTACTATCCAATCTGGAGTGTGGTGTTAGAAGTTATTTTCTAATTTCTCCATTAGATTAAATGTTTCAATTTCTTTGATCAATCAATTATAAACTATTCTTAAAATATAAAAGGATATTTTTTAACTACATATAACACTCCAAATACGATATTGGTATTAAAAAAAGTGTTTGGCTATGAAATAGAAATCATGAGTGGAGTTATTGTTTTGTTGTGTATGTTTAATATAAGTTTTTATTTAGCACTTAGTACTTTACATTCTTTATATTGAATTTGTTTCTCCATTTGGTTTCAACACATCTTCTAAGACAAATGATATGTATGGTACACACTACACAAATAGTCTCTCTGTCCGTATTTAATCTTAATGTTTTGTCCCTATTTAATCTTAATGTTTTGTCCATATTTAATCTTAATGTTTTGAATTATGATGTTTTTTACTCAAGTGGCTTTTAGTTCAACTTATTTCAATATTGGTGCAAAATCAATTCCCTCTATGTCATCCGTTGTAACGCCTCTTCTGGTTAATGTTCTTGCAACTAAGTTTCATGAATCTCTTTTCGTTCTTTGGGAGTAGAAAATGCAATCTGGGTAAAGGCCACCACAGCAACCTGATTAAGACCTGAATTACATATTCTTCCTTTCCAATTTTAAATCATACCCATCAAAATGTGATGATGACACCAAACAAGAGTTAGTATGATCTACGACTCAGTCCTTGCATCATTGTGCCAAATGCTAACAAAACAGAACTTAAATCTCTGCCCAAGTGGTCGGAGAGGTTGAAAACTACACCGTAACGAGTACCCAAGTTTGTGGAGGAAGCAATGAGGACTTTAATCATGATAACAATAAGTGGAAGACTAGGGTGAAGCAATACAAGAAGTTGCTTCATGCTCTCTGCACCGATAAAGAATTGTTGCTTCTTTGATTGATGATCCTCTTTGGGTCATGAATGTGGTCTCATCCTACTCTGAAAGTACACCTCTTGTAGTATATGATGGGTCTTATTGGTGTCTATGTATGAGCTGTTCTCAACGTATCCCGGAACATATGATGTGATGCACCTAGATGGCCACATTGCTACACAAAGTCACATACGTGAGATGAATGTTGGAGTTGTGCCCTGATGGCCAACTGTTTATC